TGTCCTTTCCATACACGTTTTGTTCTGATTCATGATCAGTCAGTTTCATTTTCTCAATTGTTTTTTATTTCCTACTCATAGTTCTTCTCTAGGTACTTTACTTCCTGGTCGAGTTTTTCATCGGAGAGCGTTCGACTGTCGTTTTTCTCACGCTCTCCACCTTTCGTGCTCTTTCTTCTCCTGTATATACTTTTTGTTCCGTCTTCTGTCATTTTCTAATTTCTGTTTTCTCCGTTAGATTTTGTTCTGGAAACGTTTTGCTTCCTGGCATCGTTTACGCTGTATTTTATGTTCATCGTTCGCCTTTGAGACTTTCCTGTCTGGCTTGTTCCATTTGTTTCTTCTCCTTCAAACTCACTTTTGACTGATTAATTTTTGCTATTATTTTGCCTTTTCTCTTCCAATTTCCTCTAGCCATGTTTCCTTTCCAGACCTTCGTTGATTTTAATGTGTTTTTTCCTTCTAATGCCGTTCTCAGTTGTGTACTTTCATTGCGGTTCTTCATTTTCTTTCAGGCGCTGTTCTGCCAGTTTAATTTCCTCAATTATTTTCTATTTCCTCCCTAATGATGTTCTTCGGTTGTTTTATTTCCGCTTTGCTTTTTCATCTGAATGAGTTTTTTCCGTCGTCTTTTCTAGATTATTTATTTCCTACCATCGTATCTCTTCATCTCATTTCTGTTTAACTTTCTCTATTCTCCTTTATTCTCTAGATCTTTTATTTCCATTTCATCTTACTTAATTACTGTCTAGTTTTCACTAGTCACATTTAGTCTTTATTTGCTCAACTTCTCTTCCCGGTTGTATCTGTCTTTTTCCTAATTAACTTTCTCTTCTAGCATCTCACTTCTGCTTGCTTCATTTCCTCTATTTTGGTCGATTTCCTGCTGAGTTTGCTTCTCTATTTGGTTTCACTCCTCTCATTTTTTCAGCTGAATGCGTCTTTCCGTTGGTTTTTTCTTTTAGTACTGTTTTTGCTGCTTCTTCTGACCAACTAGACTGGACACTAGGAATATGTGTGGCTCAGTGCAAACATTTACACAAACAACGTACATTTATCTATTTAATCGGATTTATATACAAATTTTCAGCTCTAATCTAACTCCGCTTCAGAACCTCTTCTGAGGCTGTTCGGGTTGCTGCGGATGGGCAGCGATGTACTCAAGCGCCCGCTGGATGGCGATGGGGATTGGAGGAGGCGTCGGAAGAGCGTTTCCAGTTGGCTGATATCCATTTTCATCGGCCACGTAGGAAATTTGAATTTGCTCATTTTCCGGAGTGAGGAACTGAAACTGGCCAGTTACCGATTTGCTGGCCTGTTCGGGCCCTTGAGGTTGAATGTTGCCTTGTTCTTGTGCGGAAATGCCGTTGTCGGTTTCATACCTACAAAAAAGGTATTAACTAGACCAGTTCGGAGCGTTAACAGATCGAGTTGCTTACGCAAATTGATAACTTCCTTCTGGGGAAATGTCGGATTCTGATCGGATTATTTGGGCCTGTTTGGGATCGCCGCCCACGGAAGCGCCCAAAGCGGTGGCGAAGATGCAGAAAGCAGCAACCTACAAAAAATAAATCGACTGTGATTTTAAGCCCAAACTTGGTTTATCTGCGTAAACTAGATTTGTTTGATGCCGGTTTTTTGGCGGGGTTCTTTCTGTGGTTTGCGCAAAAGTTTAAGAGGTGAAAAATTGGTAACGCCGAACTTACTAATGGTGATTGATTATAAATAAAATCCAGCCAAAATGCTGGAATATCAATCTTTCAGCTCTTTTATATTATAAATCGCTAATCGCTCGAGTTGTTCCACGACAAGAATATTTAAGATTCCCAACAGTAGAAGATTGAAGGGAAATCGGTGCTTGCAGGAGAACAAGAGCAACATTTCCTCCTTCAAACGATGTAAAAGCTGGCGCTTCAACTAATCGGCAATTTGAGTGCTCAATTTTTCAAAAACCTTTGGAAACCGCGCTGGAAGCCAAACTGCCCTGTGATTCTCCAAACTAAAAAATCCCATAAATTGCGCCAAAATTCTGAAACCACAGTTTCATTACAGTCAAGTTTGTTGCCTATTGAATGCTGCTAAAAGTAGATCTTTAGCTGCTCCAGTTTGCGAGTGACGAATTTTTGAAGAAAATCTTCCAAAACTGGAAAGTTGGTGGATGCCAAACCGCATTTAGAAGCGCCAAATTTCAATAAATCCTCACGAATTGAGGGAAATTGAGACTCATTTGAAAATTGCACTCTTAATAGTGTAGAGAT